GTTGGTGGTTCTGTCTTCTGTCCGGGCTCCTCCTGGGAAACGTGGGCTGAGGCGCCTCCTGGGCCAGTGCTCTCGAGCCGCTCCTAGAGCCAGCAGCCCTGTGGTCCAGCAAACATGTTTCCAGTTAATATAAGTCTGAGGTGGAGATCTAATGCAACCATCCCTCTCTTGGGCTGCTGCTTCTTCACTTTACAGCCCCCAAACTGGGATTCAGCGAGGCTCCAGGGCAGAGGCAAGGACTGGAGAAGGCAGACGGAGTAAATGGCAGCGTGTGTGCCGCCTGCCAGACCGGCGCCCTCGCCGCGGCACTGCACTGCCTCTGAAACGCACCGTGTCCTTACACGGCCACACAGAGGCCACACAGAGTCACTTACGATGCTGCGTGGTGGCGAAAGTCGAGTCTAGCCCATGTAAATTGCCCTGTGAGATGACCTCCGAGGAAGCTTAGATGGGAAGCAGAGGCACGTAACTTGGCTCTGTCATGCACCAGTTTCTTTATCTTCACGTAGGAAAAACGTACCTAGCTTTTCCTCACCGAGAATGTTGTGGAAGTAAATGTGAAATAATGAACTGGATTTTTCCAGGCCTTTGAGTCATTCCAAAGATCAGGCATTTGGGGTAAAATTATACCAACTGTTATGATTTTTTTACTTGTTGATTGGCTAAGGCCTTTAGTAAAGTTGGTTCATATATTTTTATGTTCATAGTCTAAACTTGACCAAGTGTTGCTATTAATAATTTCAATGATATTTGAAAACCAAGATCCATACAAAAAGTTCTTTCAGGCCAGCCGGTGGCATGGCGGTTAAGGCTCTGGGTCCCTCTTGGCTGACTTCACAGTTTGAGTTCTGGACCCAGTGGCTTGAGAAACATGCCAGGTGCACACGCATGCTTGTCCAAAATCCTGAGAGAAGAAAGGAGAAGAGATTGCAGTGTGATCATCCCTCTTAGGGGGTGATTTCTCAGTTTCTCTCTGTCTCTGTCTCTGTCACCATCTCTCTGGTAAATACACACACCTTATGGCAGACATCTAATTTAAGAAAAAGGTTTCTTTAGGTATTTTATATTGAGCCTACTCAATGCAACTTTTTTTTAAAAAGTAAGTTCAGACTGAATCAGGATTAGAATATGTGATGTTTAATTTCACAGGATTAAGACATAGCCAATATCTAATGCAAAGTCCATAGTAAGTGCTTATAACAAAGTCTTTGAAACTGAAGGGAAATGCAGCAAACTCGGGGCGGTGGGTAGCGTCTGCGTTCACATTGATGCAATAATCATCATTCTTTGGTACAGTGAATGCTGTGAATTATTCTCAACTCTGAAGTTTCCCATTTTAATCAAACTAGAGTTGCAGAAAATATAATGGGAAAGGCTTGATGCAGACAAGTCTTTAATTATAACACACTAAACTCCATAGGTAATGTGCCAGGCAACACCCATGGTACCCACAGTTTGGTAAGACCTTGGTTCTTGCGTGCCACCTGCAGGCAAGCTCTGTCAGCATCATCTTCAAGTGCCCCACCCCTGACCTGCTGGATTAGAATCTGCATTTTAACATGATCCCTAGGTGATCCATTGATTATTAAGATTGAACTACTTTCGGGGCCAGCAGTTAGCATAATGGCTATGGTGCTGGACTCCCACGTAGTCAACCATGGTTCGAGTCCCAGACCTGATGGCTTAAACTCACGCCGGGCGCATGTGCGTGCATGCCCAAGATCTCAAGAGGAGAATGGAGGAGAAGGGATAGTGGCGTGGCCATCCCCCATGGGGGGTGATTTCTCGCTTTCTGTCTCTCTGTCTCTCTCTGTCTGTCTGGCGAGCACACGCGCCCTATAGCAAAAACCTCTCCAAAAAAAAAAAAAAAAAAGATTGAACAACTTTCGGTCTTATTCCACTCCATTGGCCTGTGCAAGGACGTTACACTTTCCTATCTGATATGTGAAAGAAAACGACCTATGAAACTGGTGCCACTGTAATTCCATCCTCTGCTGAATATGGTCACCCTTTATCCTTCTCTGCCCCCACCCCTCAAAAGTAACATTACATGCATTGTGAGTTTTGCAGAGTTTATCCTCCGTTCCACTGGGTTTTATAAAGTTGGTTGCTCTTGCTTTGATTTTATGCCTAAAGATGATTTGCAGTCTTACAATTTCTATAGTTTTTTTTCTTTTCTTTCTTTCTTTCTTTTTTTTTTTTTTTTTTTTGGTAATAAACACCCTTTTGCAAAGTAATGTTTGGGAAGGAAAAAGTAAGACCATTAATAAAGAGCAATAATTGTTTCGGTTGGGGGCTAGTGTTTAAAACCCTAAACAGAACATCCATTTTTGACTTTCTTCCCTTTTATTCTAAGTAGGAAGTGTTGTAAAGGAGATTTTTTTTTCTCTTGAGAAAAAAAAAAAATGTGTCATTGAGAATTGCACTCTAATGTAGTCATTTTCTTCCTGAAAATCATTTTTACCATTCTCTATCTAATGAATTTCAGTTGCCTTTAGAATATTTAACACTGCTAAATCCTGCTATCTGAGGTCATTGGGAGTCATATTAATTTTTTTTTTCTTCTCTCAAGTTTCCCAGTAAACTAAGCAGAACACACTCAGATCGGCAGGTGTGGCTCTGCACTTGGCAGGTGTGCTTGCTTGCATTGGGGTCACAGTGTGCTGTCTCTGGATGTGAGGACCCGCTGTGACGGTGCCTGGGGCCGTCCTGGGCAGTGAAGACAAGCTTAGGGTCCACTTCCTCTTTAAGCCCAGTGCCTCATGAGCTACTGCGCCACCACAATTTGCTTCCTCCTCCAGTTTGATCCTATCGTATTTTATCTAAAAAGAAAGGAAAGTGGGGGACCAGCAGGAGGCATAGTGGTTAAAGCGCTGGACTCTCACATGGCTGACTGTGGTTTGAGTCTTGGACCCAGCAGCTTGAAACTCACGCTGAGTGTGTGTGCATGCCCAAAATTCAGAGAAGAATGGAGAAGAGAATGCAGTGTGGCCATCCCCCCAGGGGGTGATTTCTCACTCTCTATCTGTGTGTCTCTCTGGCAAGCACACACACCCTATAGCAAAAATCTCTCAAAAAGTAAATGAAGGAAGGAAGGAAGGGAAGGATAAGGAGACTTGAATATGAGACAGAAAGGGACTGGGATGCTTTCATTAAAAATCCATGGGGCAGAGATATCACTGGCCTCTCTGATGGCATCTGGTTCCCCTAACTAGACAGTGTTTGGTCCGTGTGTCCTTTGAGTGCCACTTAAAAAAAAAAAAAATGCCAGAAGGTGCCTGAGAGAGCCAGGGAGAGAAAGAAAGGGGGAGGGGGTGGGAAGGAGAGGGAGAATAGTCCCCTTCAGCAGGGCCTGGTCGTTCTGCGATCCTCTTTCCTTTAATTCTCCATTCTGTCAGGATCCTGGGCATGAGTGAGGGCACCCGGTGTGTTTTTCAAACCAACAGGGCTGGGACTCAAACCCTGGTCATGAATGCCCACTTACAGAGAGGAAGTTGAAGAGGGAAAGTATGTTTGTCTTTGCATCCCATGCCCACCGTCTCCCAGTTCTAAGCAGGGAATGTAAGTTGGTTCTCAAGGGCACACTTAGCAAGGATGAAGGTTGCTAATCCCAAAAGGTAAGGCTCAAAGAAGAGGCCTCTCTTGGAGGCTCTAAGAAATGAAACTAGAAGAGTCACAGGTGAGAGAAGAAGGGCACACATACCTCACCAGAACCTCAATAGCATGAACAGGCATGAAAGTGAGATGATGCCAGAAAACTGAAAGCAGAGCCCTGCCTTGTGCACATTCCAGGGGACTGGCTGAATGGGCTGGGCTACGGGTCAGATGGGACTCTTCGAAGAAGCTGTTTAAGAGTACATTTGCCGGGAACCAGCAGTTAGCGTAATGGCTATGTCGCTGGATTCCCACATAGTCGACCGCAGTTCGTGTCCCGGACCCGGTGGCTTAAAACTCACGCCGGGCGTGTGTGCGTGCGTGCCCAAGATCCCGAGAGGAGAATGGAGGAGAAGGGATTGCGGCGTGACCATCCCCCCTGGGGGGTGATTTCTCGCTTTCTGTCTCTATGTCTCTCTCTCTCTCTCTGTCTGGCGAGCGCACACGCCCTACAGTTAAAATCTCTCCAAAAAAAAAAAAGAGTACATTTGCCCAGGCTTCTGCCTCCCCCTCCCCAGGCATACCAGAGGCCACTTACTCACTAGTTGAGTAGATCACTAGTTGAGAACTTGGGTTCTGAGCCAGTCACATGGAATTGGAATTCTACCAATAACTGTTCCCTTACCAACTGTGTGACTTTGCCTAGTTATTAAACCTCTCTTACACCCATCTCCTCATCTCTGAAGTGATGATGGTAATGTTAACCATTGTATGGGGATGTTATCAGAAGTGGGAGAAAGACAGGGCTGCCAGGTGGTGTGGTGGTTGAGGGCGCTGGCGTCCCACATAGCCAACCATTGTTCGAGTCCCAGACCTGGTAGCTTGCTTTCTCACTTTTCTCTCTCTCTCTCTCTCTCTCTCTCTCTTTCTTTCTCTCCCCCTCTCCGGTTGAATTAAAATAAATAAAGTTAAATAAAATAGTAATTTTAAAAGATGAAGAAGTGGTAGAAAGGCTGCAAAATGGTTGGCACAATGCCTCTCATGTGAAGAAGTCAGTTACTGTACCATTTTTTTTCATGACTGAAACCTAATTTTATTCAGACACAAAATTTGAGCTCTTGTCCATCTCTGAAGAGCAAAGTGAATAAAATGACTGATTTTAATTCTAGACATTAGCCTACATTAAAGACATTGGAGTCATAATACCGTATTATCCAAGCTGTTTTTATCTCATTTGAAAGACTTGCAGTTTGAGCTATAATGAATATAAAATATCACCCTACTTATTGATATATTCCAAGCACAGATATTTTTGAAAACTTACATTGAGACAAACTCTCTGAGAATCAGAAAGCTACGCCTTTAACCAGTTCTCTTCCCTCTTCCTCTCTCACCCCACCGGGAAGAATTCCTTGACCAGAAGTGCACCTCTTCCCAACGACTCGCAGGCACGCAGTGGGGCTCGTTTCCACACCTCCTACGACAAGAGGTACGTCATCAAGACCATCACCAGCGAGGACGTGGCTGAGATGCACAACATCCTGAAGAAGTACCACCAGGTGAGTTCTCTTTACCTTGATAAAACACCTGAGAAGGTTAACATTCATGGCTAGCATTATTCTCAAGGCCAGTGGTTTACAACATAGCTAGAAAACAGAGCACGTGTGAGGAGTTTTTTCTAACTGGGTTTCCTCAAATCACTGTGGCCAGATTATTGACAGCCAAACATCTACAAGTGCTTATGCTAGAAATCATTGATTATTTATCTAGCACGTTTCACATAAATACTCTTCTGCATGGTCCTTTTAGTGATCACCACTCAGATTTTCAAATCGCTTACCTTAAGTTTTGACAACTATGCCAAAGATTTTTGTCTGTGCCAGATGTTAGGTGTTGGCCTCTTGTATCTATTGACACCTCCAATTCCTGTCCCCCGGGTCCCTCTCCATCCTGGTCCCAGGAAGTTTCGCTCCCACTCACATTTCATTATAGCTGAGAAAACTTATTTCAGAAGGTGAGTATTGATCTGCTTCCTGCCCTTTTTTATCTCTGAGCACCAGCCCTTCGTAATCCCTGGGGATAAAATGCACTACCCCTGGGAGCAGCAATCTCTCCTTTGTGGAAATCATTTCAACACAAGTTTGCCTGGTAGAGCATGTTCACAGGTCCAAGGACCCAGGCTGTAAGAGGCCTCACTCACTGCGGAGTAATGAGAACTTCAAGTCCAGTGTCAGACAGTTCTGGGTTCAAATCTCAGCCCTATCACATACTGACCTTGTGACTTGTGGATTTGGAACCTCACTTATGCAACAGGGATAATGACAACACCTAACTGTGTCCTGACGATGAGATGGGAACATGTATGCCAAGTCTTGGTACTAGGTGCTCAATACGTGGTGGAGGTGGCGTGCACCAGTGTCATCAGGATATATCTGTCATGGGACCATAACTCACCAGTAAGTCAGCCTGGGAACTTCAGTCCTGGGGCACAGATCTGCTGTGGCTGCACTGCAGGAACCAACCTTCAGAACTGTTTGAAAGGCACACGCAGTTGCTTTTAGAGTCTGTCTTAGTCAGTTCGGAGTGCTATAGCAAAATACCACAGGCGTGATGTCTTAAACATCAGACATTGATTTCTCACAGTCCTGGAGGCTGGAAGTCCGAGATCAGGGCCCCACGTGGTTGGGTTCTAGTGAGGGCTTTCTTCCCAAATCACCTCTCACTGGAGCCACATGTGGCAAAGAATGGGCAGGTGGGGGAGTGGGAGGAAAAAATGAAAGCTCTCTCTTGTCTCCTCTAAGGAGGCCACTAACCCATCACTTGCGCTGCACTCTTATGACCCAGTTGCCTCCCAAAGGCCCCACCTCCTAATACTGTCACGTGAGGATCAGGGCTTCGACATGTGGGGGAGGGGCACAAACAACAAACATTCCTTCCACAGCAGAGTCCTCCTCTATTTTTTGCCTGGTTTCCAAATCTCCCGGAAAGCTAGAGGCTGGCTGTCACAGAGTATTCTGACTGCACTCATGGCAGGATCTCACAGTGTCTCAACAGTCGGGTTATTAGCGACTGGTTTCTCAGCATGTCTGCCTCGAAGGCGGCACTCGTTCGGATTGTGAGCTCTGAGATGTCTGTTTCAAAGCCTGTTTAAAAGCATTACCTTGTGGTCAGGCTTTACACTCTGAAATCGTGGATTATTTCTTGGCAGTTGCTTACTCTTCCAATCTTTGTAAATGTGATCAACTGCATTTAGCTCGCAGTGAAGTCTCTCAAAATCTTTGAGCTGCATTCTGTTTCTGGAAACTCGGTACTTCCTCTAATTTGTTTTCTAGAAACATTAGTCAACCTCTAAATTCGTTTAACATCTAATAAATTTTTCATAACATCTCTTCCTTTTGAAATGTGTTCGGCAGTGCTTAAGTTATTGACTATTAGAGAGGAAATTTGAAAATGCCGGGAAGAGTACCTGTGAGGGGAGGACTTGAAGGTTCTGGCGTCTGAATGAATTGAATTCCAGGTTGTAGCTTTTAACTCTTCACTTTTTTATGTGGAGAGGTTCTTTGCTATAGGGCGTGTGCGCTCGCCAGACGGAGAGAGACATAGAGACAGAAAGCGAGAAATCACACCCCAGGGGGGATGGCCACACCGCAATCCCTTCTCCTCCATTCTCCTCTCGGGATCTTGGGCATGCACGCACACACGCCTGGCGTGAGTTCTAAGCCACCGGGTCCGGGACACGAACCGCGGTCGACTACGTGGGAGTCCAGCGACATAGCCATTACGCTAACTGCTGGTTCCCAACTCTTCACCTTTTAGACGGTCTACTTTTTCATTTCTCCCCTCTGGAACTTCATGTTATACTTACACATTCTTTTTATACTTTCTTTCAATTGTCTACGAACTTACAAAGCAAAGTGATACCTCATGATGTATGAGAACATATTACTTCAATTAGTGACTGTGGTACGGTTCTAATAATATGTGACATGCAATGCAGGTATCAATTTGTTGATGACAACTTTGAGTTCAGAATCCTTTGACTTTACAGAAGTCACAATTTGAAACGTTTTCTCTGGGGTAGTTAGCGTAACCTAACATATGGATTTGACTTATTCTTAATGTTACATAAAATATCAGGCCTCAAAATGAGTCTGTGATGCAGCCTAGGCATGTTCACAGTGCTCACGATTTCCTTTAGTTCCACTGCTACAAAAGTGTTGTGTTGGTATGTTCCTTTTTTTTTTTCCAGAAAAGATTAATTTATCCAATACGTATAATTTTTCTTTCTTCCTAGAAACAGTATTTCAAATATAACTTAAAGAGGCTTCACTGCAATCACATAATATAGTAAACACGCAATAAACCCATAGCATCAGTGAGATACTTTAAGCAATATCAAATAATCAGTGAATACTGCTTCTTATTGAGGATAGGTTACATTCAATTAAGAGAAAATTAGTTATTTTCTCTTAGAAAACAAGATATTTAGGGCTAGCCCCATAGCTCAGTGATTAAGTGGTAGCTTCCAAAGTTAGACCTCGGGCCAGCCTGTAGCATGGTGGTTAGGGCAGCTGGATCCCACATGGTTTGAGTCCTGAACTAGCTAGCAGCTTGAAAAACATGCTGGATGCATGTGCTTGAGTGCCCAAAATCCCAAACGGAGGGAAAACTGGAGAAAGAAAAAAAAGAGTCATAATGATTGAGAATCACCATCAGTAAAACAGTTCATTTAAAGGACACTAAATGAAGTCAGGAGACTTAGATCCTAACTTGTTATGAGCTGATTTTTCCTAAGGTTTTTACCATCGGGCATGTGCGCTTATCAGAGAGAGACAGAGAGGGAAAGTGAGAAATCATCCCCCAGGGGAATGGCCACACTACAGTCCCCCTCCTTCATCCCCTTTCTGGGATTTTGGGCACTCGCGCACATGTGCCCAGCATGGTTCTCAAGCCTCCAGGTCTGGGACTCATACTGCAGTCAGCCATGTGGAATCCAGAGCCTTAACCATCATGCCACCTGCTGGCCCCATGAACTGATTTTTTAAGGGATCTCTCAACTCAGATTCCTTACCTACATTTCATTCATTCATTTACTCATTCATTCATTCATTCATTCATTTGTATATTTGCTCCTGGCTTTATTCCAGAAAGGATTTAAGGTGTTCTGCAGGAAAGTTTGAAATAAAAGGTAGTATAAATAGGGAAGGTGAGGCTGAAAAGCTGGCAAAATGAGTAAAGTCACCAAATGGAACCTGGAATGGACCCAAAGATTCATGCTTTGGGGCCAGCGTCATGGTCTACTGATTAAAGGGAACTGGATTCCACATGACCAAGCACAGTTCAAGTCCCAGCCCTGGCTCCAACAGGTGAGTGCATGCCCCAAATCCTGACAGCATCAAGAATAGAAGAAGGGATTGTGGCATGACCACACCTCATCAGGGGGTGTTTTCATTTTCTCTCTCTCTCTCTCTCTCTCTCTCTCTCTCTCACACACACACACACACACACACACACACACATGCATGCCATCTGGCAGTTAAAAATAAAAGATGCATTTTCTGATACCCAGCATGCTTGTTACTTTGAGAGCTGCTAGTTTGACCCTCGCTGCTTCTCAGCCACAGAGGAAGGGAAGCCTGGGTGAGTCACTGCACAGCTACTGTGCTTGAAGGTACAAGAAAACCCACTGCTGGAGAGAAATATAGCTGTTCCTGTTACTAAGATCCCACAGGTGGTCTCTCAGGGCTTCCCCACAGAGGACACGGGACGCCCAAGCAGTATCCTTGCTACAAGCCGTGGAACACACAAGGACCTCATAGGCCTTTTTAAAAAAGAAATCAGTACAGATTGCCGAGTCCACACCATCGTTCGCATGTAGTCAGCACGGTTCTCTGAGAGGCTACAGTGGCCAGGGGCTGCCCAGACCCTGCCACCTGGCTTCCAGCCAAACGTCCTGCAGACTGCTCTGTCACATGCAGCTCTCACACAAGGCCTTGGTGACAGCTGCCACGTGGTGGTGTTGCAGACACGTGTGATTCCACGTAACCAGACAGAGGCCCCCATCCATGACTCCGGGGAGGTCCTCTCAAGCGCCGTCATTGCTCATCTGTGCTGAGCTGCTCGGTGGTGTCCGAGGTTCGTATTAGGCCTTCATTTCTTCTTTAAGGAGGCCTCGCCTGCTTTTAGGGTTTATGTTTGATCTTAATAGTTTTCTGTCTCCTGCTTCAGTTCTTCTGTTTCTTCTTGCCTTTTGTTGCTTTTACCTTCTAATTTCCTGTGCTCCTGAGCCACCTAAGCATGGATGAGTCATTAAACTTACTCAAATCTTATATCAATAGATGAGATGTTTCTCCGAGAGGACCTCTCTTAAGAAGTAAACTGGAAGGCCCTTCCCTTCTTGTTTCTTTTCCTTTGTTGTTTTTGTTTTAATGAAATACATCCACAGTTGGAGCTGTATGCTAGGGGGTTAAAATTACCCTAAGGTCAACCTCTGGAGAAGTGAAACATTGCTAACTATTGGAGTAAATTCTTTCCTGGGTTAGTTTTTGACAGATCAACC